GACAGGAAGAAGAAGAGCGAGAGGTTTTTATGGGAGAAAAATAGGGTAAGTAGCCCGCCTTGAAAGCCGGGCAGACAAAGACGGGACTGCCTTCAATGCGCAGGAGGAGAGGGCAGGTATGGTCGCCATCACTTCACCCCTTCTCTCTCCTGCCCGACGTGCCCGTCAGATGTGAAAGGACAACAAAGCTGCAGCTGCTGCTGCTGCTTCTGCTTCTGCCAACCTCTCTGCTGCTAAAACGACAGTGCGTTCAGCGAGGGGTCAATCATAAAGCAATAGATTGCAAAATGATTTTGCCTCGGCCTCCGCACCCCGCTTGACTCTCATTGGCTCTGACACTGCCTGTGTGTCTTCGCTGTATCCCTAGCCCCATCTCGCCACCACGGACCACCCATGACACGTCACGTCGTTGGGCACGTGCGAAGGATTTTGAAAGCATAATGCTTGAGTTTATTTTTGTGCTTTTTGTTGTCCGTCCAAAATAAAATAGAACAAAATAAAAATAAAAAAATATTCTGCTGTCCCAAAAAGAATTACCCCATCTTCTTCGCCCGCGCGGGAATTTCGGCTTGCAATGCGTTGTAAACGTATAAATAATGGTTGTGTGTGCTTCTCAGTCTTCTGTTAGTTACTTTGTTTTTCTCGATTGACTCGTTTTTATTCTGCTAAATTCGTAGCATCCATGCATGTGACAGTCCTTCTCTTTTCATAGATTTGTTTTTTGTTTTTGTTTTTGTGTTTATATATTTCTTTCTTTTTCACACAAGAATAATTATATATATATTCACAAGCTGTTCATAAATAGGCAATAATTCACTTGCTTCTGTTTTTACTTATGCATACATAAAGAAGTCAATAGAAGTTGAAATCTGGCATTCACAATTCAGCCACAAATTCAAGATAGAATGATACACGCAATCAGAGGGGACATAATGAGTAGTACCCCTTAAAGCGCATCTTGCACATAAAATAGAAACTAGTTATAAAAAAAAAGAAAATAATAAATAAATATGCAACGCATAATACAAAAATAAATTTTATTTAAGTTGCATCCTTCAAGGCTTCAAAGAGTTAAAATCACTAATTATTGATTTATTATCGATATTATCAGCTAATTCTTTTTCAATGTGAAGTATCATACAATCAACAAGAAACTCATTCTCTATCTTGTTTCGAAGTCCATTTTTGATAAGTCTCATATATGAAAATGCGCGTTCTGTTATCGCTACTTGATGATGCATTATTCTTTTTTCTTTTTTTCTTTTTAAATGCAAAATATTCTTTGTTCCCTTAGAATTTCAATGATGATCCGATATTGTATAAAGCATAACCTAAGAATCATATATAGAACATGTAGGCAACTAGGTGTGAAACAATCTCTAGTAAGATAAAACAACAATGGATATATATATATATACATATACATGGAGCTTTAATTGAGGGATTCCTCAAATAACTTATTTGAGGGACACCTTTGTAGGACCCACTCCGTATTGTATTTCATTAATCCAAACCATCTATTTTGTAGATACTCATTCAAAGATCATCTTTATAAAAAATCATTTGAATCCGATATCATTTGATGACTCAATTGAATTATTGAAATTTTAGTACTTTCTTGAAGTACGTGTTCATTGATTTTGTATGACACAATTGGACATCGAAACGGTTTCCTATCTGTCTAATTTTTTGTAAGGATGATCTATGAATGTAAACTTAAAAAATAGATTGTTTGGATTGTTAAAAAAAGGGGACCCTTTTTAGGGTCCCTCAAATAATTTTTTTTTAGGGATCCCTCAATAAAAAGGGAACTGATATATACATATATATTAACTTATTCCTAATTTTTTTTTATAACAAATTCCTAGTTAGTGAAGAAAATTAAAAAGAGGAACTTTCGCTTGCTGATTTGCTGAATCGGTGTGCCTCTCTCGCAGCAGTCCACTTTGGTGGCTGCTTTGTTCCTCATCACTTCTTTTTTATATAGGTTTTTGTCTCTCACGTAGTTAATGTTCTGCTTTTTTTTCTTTCCCAATCACGTCGGTGTTCTTTTATGTTGTAGGGTATTGGGGTTATGTTTTCGGTTGTATGTGTATTATCTAAGTAGCTTTTTTTTTTTTTTTTTTTTTTTTTTTTTTCTTTTTTTTTCTATCACATCTTTTAAAAAAAAGAATAACTATTCGCTAAAAACAAGAGTGAACTAATATCTACAATAGGTTCTCTAAATTGTCTCTTTAGACAATATTTAGAGAGAAATCAAAAAACACGACTCACTCGTGCACCTTTCCACTTCATAAAATAGAGAGACATTTTAAAAATTCCTAAATCTGAAAGATATTCCTGATTAAAATATTTGATTTTGAGAACTTGGTGCAGCAGCGAGTTAATTAGGTAGTGTAATTTATCTCCATTCATTGAAGCAACGTTGTTTTTGACAAAATTAAGCTACGAGCAGTTCTAGAGTCAAGTAGTAATCAAGCGTTCTCAAGATAAAGAGAGTCGAAAACCAAGCATATGTTGAAATTTTCTAGTCAAGCAAGCAAACTGGAAGTAGCCTCATAACTCCTCGTAGTTAGCCAAACTTAGCTTGAATTTCAATGTCACAACAAGCCTACAAAATTCAAAAACATACTAATTAAGAGCAACCAAAATAATAACACATCCACAAGCCTCCATTGTTAGACTCGAGCTAGAGTAACCCAAAAATGCTCAAAATTACCAAAACAAGTCAAACTCAAGCCAATGTGATCAACATGCAAAAACAATTATTTAAGCGTCCTTATTTTATATCCTTTGTGGAAATCTCTTCTTGTCTAGCCATCTTTATCCGAGGCAAGCTGCTGTAAGAAATCTATTACTTGGTGCTGTCAAGCTATTAGAAGAGACGTCGAAAATATCATTTTTAAAACTCTTGTGCTTCAATCTCCCATGCCATGAGGTTCATAACAAGCCTCATTATTAACTATTACTATTGCTATCCATAAACATCAAGATGTATTGTTGGCGTGAGTCAAGACTCAGTTAGAGTAGGAAAGATTTTTCTTATTTAATAGGGAATCCTAGTTTCCTATTTTAGGATGTATTTATTTTATTCCTTGTATGATAAGTCCAAGTTGTACATTTTTATATTCACTTCCACTGAGAAGAATACACAACAAACAATTCAATCCCAAATTTCCTTTTAACTTGGTATCAGGGCATGTTTCAACCAAGGATGGATCCAGGATTTTAAAATGGACTGGGCTGGATTTACCTTACAAAGAAACTCGATGGCATGAGTGAATTTTATTGATAACAAAAAAATAATATACCTAGTTAGGGAGGACATAATGAGCTATATACCCCTCAAAATGTATCTAATACATAAGATGGGCCGGCTCCCTGTCCGAGCGAAGTGAGTCAGTATCAGCTTAGAGAAAAAATAGGTATGGTAACTACAACTTCCTAATGTGAAGAGTAAACGAAACGGTAGCGAGGCTCCCCGACAAGAGTTGAACGGTACTTCAAAAGAAGGAAGGGCAAGCAAGTAGGGACAGCGCCTCAATCCAGAGAAAGAGAACTAGTAACTCTAGCTTCCTGAGTTGAAGACAAATTTGCAAGAGAGTGAGGCTCCCCGACAGGAGCCGAATGGTACTTCACAAGAAAGAAGGGCAAGTAGGCTGGCGAAGGGTTGGCTATCCGAGCGAAGCGAGTTAGTCTAGAAAAAAAACATGCAATGCATATACAAAATAAAACTATTTAAGTTGCACCATTCGAGTCTTTAAAGAACTAAAATCATTAATGATTCATTGAGTATCGATATTATTAGCTAATTTTTTATTAATAGCACTCCTCATTTTGATTGATTATTATGACTACCATAAAATAAAATATTATATACAAGTGCCATAACAACTCCAAAAATTATATGTGGGATCATACCTTTGCAAAATATGAGCCTATTAACATGTATTTAGTGATTTTTTTCCTTTTACTTTGTTTAGGAGAAATTCAAAGTTGAAATTATCCCTCTTCTAAATAAAAGAGGAAAAAGTAAGAACCCTTATGTGTTACTACTTTCAGAGAAGCTTCCGTTTGGGGATAAAAATGACATCAAAATTACAAATTGCAACCATTATTCTTTTTGAAAGTTAACGATGACAGTCTAAACTTTATCCATTATAAAACTTAAAGTTCAACGACAAAAGTAATCATCATGCGAATGATTCTTGCCACCAAACAAGGTTGAGGAATTTGGCACTATCTCATTCTCACACAAACACACGTTAGGAAAAAGAAGAACCCTAATGTCATCTGAGATAAAAATGACAACCAAGAAAAAAACTTTGCCCGAAATTCTCCTTTTCCATTTTCCTTCCTTGTGTTTGTATTGTTTTTGGTACTTTTTATGTCTTGGTTTCACAAACTTTTATATAGTTTATATTCTGAAATTCTTTCTTTTCCCTTTGTCCGTAAAGTGTAAAGCATGTGACAGTGGTGGTGCATAAGAATGAAAAGAGAACCCAACACCTTTGGTAAAAATATGAAAGAAAATATATTTCATATATAAATGTAAAGTGCTCCATTACAATTACCAAGGATCACTTCATACTTTAAGATAGTTAAAGGTCACTCTCTCTCTCTCTCTCTCTCTTCTCTCTCTCTCTCTCTCATCAGTGCAAAAACATACAAAATCAATTAGCTAGATGTCCTTGATATATTTACGTGGGAATATAATATGTTTGATTGGGATCTCACAGATTGATAGGAAGGACATGCTTTTTTCCACCCCTTCTCCTTTTGTTGCTTTCTGTCTTTCTTGTCTCCTTGTCTTTCTTTAGCTCTCCTTTTACTTTTCTTTTTCTTTTGTTTCTTTTTCCTTTCTTTTTCCTCTGATTTCCTCAGCGGGTACCTGATTCTCATCTCCATGGCAGCCCCCATTCATTCAGAGACATAATATAATGAATTAAAAATGATTAAAAACTGAATAGGGTCAATTAATTTATTTCCCCTATTCAATTTCAAAGTGGCCTGCCCAAAGTGAACTCCAAATTGGGCTTCCTGGGGCTTCTTGTCCCTGCAGAAATGTTTGTTGTTGAGGAGCTTACATCTGATATTCTCTCATAACTCAAGCCTTTTGGATCCATCATGTCTTCCTTCTGAAACAAAAGATATATGCATATCTATTATATGATATGCCTATAAATACACTTAAAACAAAACACCATGCAGAAGAAGCCTAACAAGTGTGTGTGTGAACTGTGGGTGAGAGTGGGAATCAACATTTGACTCACTGAGGGAATATTTATCAAGGAAAAAAGAAACTTTGAATAGTACACTAGAAAGCCTGCACAACTCTGCATTATTCTCTCCATAGCTAGCTAGCTAACATCTCCAATGGTATGTGTGTGTGTATATATATATATATATATTATGCAATGCATGGTCAACCTATGGGTTTGGTGAGTCAAATGAGTAAGGTTTTGGGTCTAGGGGTAGTAATGAGATGAGAGGGATTTTTAATTTTATATATGCAGAAAGAGGCTTTCTTCTTTTTTTCCCCTTTGCCCTAGTGAAAAAGAGATTTATACATATATATATATATATATATATGCCAATCTACAAAGAATAACAAACAAGCTTTTACATATCACAAAAACTCTTTTTCACCTGGGACATGTGAGAATGACAGAAATAACCCTTCAAGTTTTTAAGGGAACCAGCTTTTGAAAAGTCTTTCCCTTTTCTCCCTCTCTCTACTCTTTGTAATGTGCATGACTTTATGGAGAAAGATGGAAATAAAATAACCTTCATTTTCTTCATTTATTCCCATGATATATATATGTATGTATGTATGTATGTATGTATGTATGTTTGTTTTGGAAATAACTGAATTTAAATAGTAACTAGATGAATAAATTGGTACCTCCTGATCATCAAGAGATGGTAAATTTGCAGGTGCAGAAGAATCCTTTGTGTTTGCATGCAACCAAGCTTCTCTGCTACAAACAAACAGATTGAGAGAATATTTTCTATCAGTGGAAGCCATGCATGCAGATGAAAAAGCAAACTGGGAAAAGATTCAAAGAAAGCAATCTTTACGACTCTCTTGTTTATAGAGAACTAGCTAGCTTAGCTACTCTCTCTCTCTCTCTCTCTCTCTCTCTCAGCTCGCACTTTAGTCTTTAAATTTTGTGCTGATTGAAATAAAGCAGAATGCCCATGTGAGAGCCATTTGTTAAACACAAGAAAGAATGAGCATATAGCCAGCAATTCACAGACTACAAGGAAGTTCCAAAGATTTATTTCTACTGATTAAAGGGTCCATCATTTCATAATGGGTTTTTGGTTTATCTTTGAGACTAAGTTTTCCAACTGTGTAGGCCCCATGCAATAGGAGCCCCACAAAATCCAAAGGAAAGAGATATCTCCATCTTTGAGGTGGATTTTGTCAAAAATTTCTTTTTTACTTGCTTTTCACCACCTGCCCACTTGATGAAACAGCTTATAATTACCCCATCATCATCATTTCTATATTTATTCTTTTTGTGATTTCTTGCATGCAAAAGTAAAAAAATATGAGGGCCTCATGGGCCATGCATGTAAATGTAATGTCTTCAAAATCACACTTAACCCAACCAAGACAAACTCATTTAATCAGACAAACATGCTCAAATTTACCACAAGAACATTCCAATTCTCAATCAACACCATGTAATATGTATGATTAGCTATAAAAGAACAAAGCTTAGACAAGACAACAAAAAGAAGTCAAATTATTGCATGATGAACTGGCATTTTTCTTAAAGTTTTCATCCCCCTCTCCCCTTCCTTTTGTCTCTTTTGTATTATTCCAAGAGACTAATTAAGATTAATTAAGCAGCAGGTTAATTAGTGTTTACCTTGAAGAGTTGCTCCAGAGGCCATAGTATTCTTTATTATCTTGAACCTGAGGAGTGGATCTTGATCCCTGCTGCTGAGCTGGTGAGAGCTGATCACAAGACCTTCTTGGGTTCTGAAGGTCAAGCATTATGTCTTCAGTGGTGTCCCCAGATGAAGCATTTTCGTACACATCAGATTGTCCTGTACAATAAAATAAACTAAAATTTTATTAATTAACAAATTAACCCCTAACCATAATGCTTTGTTGCACATTTTTCATCTCTAACTAGGATTTCAAATAAATCAGAAAATTAAAAAAAGTGCAGGGCATTATTATATTAACCTGAAGAGGGCGCTGCTTTATCGGTGGTTTTCACCGTCCGATACATCTGCACACATTAACATTTTGATGCATTTATTAGAATGGATAATAGAGCATTAGCATTACACTAATAATTTGACCAGTTAAACACAGAGAGAGAGAGAGAGAGAGAGAGTGAAGATTACAAAAAATTTGCAGTTTGTTTTTGTTATAGACATGTCTGAAAACACAGTGCAAGTACATACAGAGAGACATTTATATTGTATTATTCTTGTATTCAATGCGTGCATGTTTGCATAGGGATGTGAGCATGGATGCATCATGCCATGCATATATAGTGCATACATAACCATGGTTGGGGTTAGAGATAATGAAGGTAACCATGGTTAGAATTGAACCCATGATCTGATGAAGATATCATTGAGAAATGATGATGTTTGTGTACTTGTTTAATATTATATATAGATAGATGGAGTGTTTAAAGCTTGTCTGGGATCGGCTTGGCTATAGCTACGACGACTTATTTTGAATTCCTTGGGCTTTGTCTTACTCGATTTCTGAAATCGATGCATCTCACTGCTCTTTCTCTCTCTTTCTCATAGCTAGATAGTAGGGGGAGAGAGAGAGCATTGATTTTTTCTTTAACTTGGGGTGGTTCATTCCTCCAAGCAAAAAGCTGTTCATTATGAGCTTGCAGAAGCAGAAGCAGAACCATCAGATCTATCTATCTATCTATCGCAAGTAGAAAAACAAGCTACTTGCTAAGGATTTCTGAGTCTCATCTGCAGCAAAACAACACCATTGGAATTTGGAACATATAAAAATTTATATATAATAAAAACCTACATAGCTCCTTCCTCGTGTACAAATATTAACAAAAGCAGGCTGTAAAAATTGCAAATTTCGTACTTCATTTTTACTTAAGCTCCATCAGTAAATATTAATTAGTGCCTCAACTTCAACACCCAAATTAATTAAGATGAAAAGAAAAGATGGAGAGATTGCAGGAAAGCTAAACAAACATGCATGCTAGGCTAGCTGATTCTCAGAGAGGAGAGAATGACAAAAACATAGCTACAAGAAGAACACACATCTAATAACTTAAAGAAAAATACTATTAGCTCACCTGTAAATGAGATTTGACATGTGCCAAGGTGAGATCTTTGACATCCATAAGCTCAAGAACTGACTTTGGTGTAGCCCCTAATGTGTATAAAACCCACAACATTATTATTAATTAAACAGAAAAAATAAGAAAAGGCATTAACAGGAGAATAGATGAGAACAAGTCAACTTATTTTCCATTTTCTTTGTTTTTTTTCCTGTATGTTGTTGAAGACAACCAATAAAGAAAGGATAATTAAACAAGAAAACGAAAACAAGTGAGAGGAGTGAGAGAGTAGAGCTTGTTCTTACTTTCATGGCCACCCAAAAGCTCAACGGCGTGAACAAAGCGAGCGTGAAGAGTGGTAGTCCAGCGCATCCGAGGGGCTCTCATGCTGCGCTTCGCCGGAAAGCGGGACAAGAACCTGGATCGGAGAAGACCCCCTTGAGCCTGAAATAGTGGGCTTGAAGAGCTTGTAATTGTGGAGGTGGAAGTACAGGAATTACTGTCCAAAGGCTTTTGGGAAGAAAATGGGAACAAATTAGGGGGAGGGTTTTGGTACACTGGAATTCCCCTAATGGGCCTCAAGAACCCAAGATGATCTGATTGTGATTGTGATTGCAATTGTAATTGTTGGTCATGAACATTTAATAGTGGGTGATGATTTACTTGGGGGACTGAGAACTGGTTTTGCTCAAAACCCTGGAAAACATTACCATTTTGGTTGAGGTGGTGGATTATATGGTTAGAGCTAATATTGGACTGATGATGCTGGTGGTGGTGATGATGGAGACCATGAGCATAAACCCTTGGATTTGAGAGCTCGAGCTCGAAACCGGTATCGGGTTTTGCCATTGAGGAGGAGAAGGAGGTTCTGGAGTCCAAGGCTCTCCTCCAGAACCCCAAATCCACCTCCTCTTGCTCTTCTCTACTACTTCTCCTCCAACTACTTGATGATGTGGGTTTGCTGTTTGGAGGGCTAATTTGAAGAGATAAGTCTGGCTGTGCAGGGAACAGCTCCATGATCTTCCTCTCTGCTTGCTCTTTCCTTATATATATATAAATATATATTCCCCTCTACCTTGTTTATATTGTAAGAACTTTTTCTTCTTCCCTTGTGCTTGTGCTTGTGGTGGAGGAGCTTCCCAAGTGTGTCTTATTTGTATGTGAGCTTCCTTGGTGATCTGAAGAGGGGATGAAGGTTATGGATTTTCAGGCGTTGGAGATTAATTTCTGGGTATTTTGTGCAGATGGATTTTGATCAATTTGTGGGAGTAGTTGCAGAGAGATTTCAGATTGAGATGAGAGAGAGAAACAAAGAGGAGAGAAGAAATGACAAGGTATGAAGTGAATGGTTGTTTCTTTTGTGTGAAGTATATGTGAGAAAATGACACTTGAGAGAGAAAGAGAGAGAGAGAGAGAGCAGAGAAGTTGTGTTTTTTCTTTTGTGGACGTGGGGGGTAGGGTACTAGGGTGAGAAAGTAAGATAAAGAGAAGAGATAGAAAAATAGTAAATAAAGTTAGAGACATTTTTTCTTTCTAATCACTTGATTCCTTCTAATTACACCCTCTCTTTTTTTTTCTTTTTCTTTTTGAACAGCAGGTATTAATATTTAATTTGCAAAATTAATTTTTACACAGATTTGTGGTATTTTATATAATTATATACAAAAAGTACAATTATATGCCTTTTCTTTAGAGGAAAAAGGAACAAAAGGAAACCCAAAAATTTGAGTGTAAATGAACTTTAACGTGTGCATATGCCCCTCACCAACTCACCCCTTGTAACCTTTTCTAATCCACACACGCAACGCAACACACAGAAGACCCTTTGGTTTTGTGCTCCTTTTTACAAACCCTAAATTGAACACTTGGGTCAAAGAACATTTTCTTGATTGAATTGAACACACCCACACGCACACATGATTGAACACTAATTTCCACATCCTAGGGTTTAGTTAATCGTCTCCAATTCCACCCCGCTCATGATGTAACTTTAATTTCCACTAACGGTATGTTCTTCTTTCAGAGTTGAACCCAACATTTCTATTTAATTTTGCTTTTAATTAAATCAAATCTGGAGATTTAAAATAAAAATTAATTCAAAGGCACATGGTTTTGTGGCAGTTAGTTGTAAGGACGGTCCTTCCTTATACGTGAGGGACAGTGGGGCAAGTCAAATTTACCGCTCCATCTTTGGAAGGTAGAGAGAGAAATGGGAAGGGGTAGTTATGTCTTTTCATATCATCCAAAGTACTCTCTTGCGCCCTGGCCACCAACCACGTGTACCACAGACAATGTTAGGGCCGGGATTAAAAAAGAACAATGGTCAATTTCTAGACAGACCAAATTTTACCCACGCACCTTGTGTTATTGCCCGGTGACATTCTGTGACACCATAACAGCAGGGCATGTCTGGCGTACAAAGTTTACCAATGTGCAACAATTCTTTTTCCTTTTTTTTTTTTTTTTTTTGGGAAAACGAAAAAGAAAAATAGAGACAAAATTTTAGGACTTGGATTTCAATTTGAGAGCTGATCAATCTCAGAAGAAATATTACTATCAATTGAATGAAAGTCCTGATTTAAAATGTTAAATAAATTTATAGCGTTAACTATTGCATGTTTGGTCGTCAGACCTGTCACTTGACTAGCTTGTTCTGAGACCATGTTAGAATGTGAGTACTTAATTCAAAATCAATTAAAAATGGGTGAGAAGATCCAAAAAAATATAAGGATTCAAGTACAACTTCTATTTTTCATGTGGATACTCTCAACATCACCCAATTTTTTAGGGGGCAAAATTTAGCTTTAATTGATTATATTTCTAGCCACATGTTGACATTTGACATTGAACATTGCAATTGGTATTCATGGAGGTGGGTTAATTGTTTGGTAGCGTTTTGTTTTTAATTTAAAAAATATATATTTTAGTACAAGCTATTGTTTTTAATTTTTTGTTTCCTTTAAATTAAATAAAAAAGAAAGGCGACATGAAAAAGATAAAGTGTTCATACCATATTTGACCGAGCCTCTTTGGCAAGGACATCACAGGAGAATGGCACCTAACCGAAGGCCTCTCTAGCTTAACCCAGCCACTGGGATATATGCTAGTCATCGTGAAAGGGGACTAGCCCTCGATAAGCCCACTCTTTACCGAACCAGATAAACAAAGGCACTTGTCGTGCCGCTTAAGCTCTTGGACACGTGACAGCCTCTCAGGTGATGCAGTCCCACGTTGAAATAATAACCCAAAGTACCTCCCACTTTTCCTCTATAAATAGGGCACTCGCACCAATACACGATGTAATAGTAAACAAAGTAAGGGGAAGGATAATTCATAAAAATATGTAAATTTGTTTTGAGTTCTATTTCAAAAACAATTCTTTGGACTAATTTCATTTAGGTCAAAAATATTTTCAATATTAATAATCACTTAAATTATTGTTTTTCATTTAGTTTTGATTAGGCCAAAGTTAAAAAGTCAAAATTTGGTTGACTTCTGATCTAAAATTAATAAAACATATATGATTATTGATTAGACTTAGAAAAGAAACTATGATAACGGCATTTCAAAATTAAAAAAATAATAATAATTTACATAAATTAAATTTCCTATATATTGTTTCTTTAATTATAATATTTTTTTTTAAATCAAGAAAGTAGGAAGTACACGCCCATATTTGTTGTTGTTTGTTTTTAGGACCTTTACTATCAAGATGGGTGATAGTATACTAAACTCACACACAGTTGTTAAAAAGTTCGTTTGGACCCAAATTACAATAATAGGAAGAAGGAAAAAAAAAATATAAAAAAATATAGTATAATTACTAGCACTCTATTCTTGGACAAAAAGTGGCTAGTTGTTGCACAAAAGGTTGAAAGCTTATTAACAAAGACACATAATTCAGTTGCTTGTAAGAAACAAAGGTATAATATTTTATTTTATTTTTTCTCTCTTTTCTTTTTTCCCCTTTTGATGAAAAAAGTAGAATCAATTATCTTGGGCATATTGAAAGATGATGCAAAGCTTTTAATACCTTTAACCACTGCCTATAAACATCGGTATGTGTTACCTTTTCTTATATGCAACTTTGGTTTTGGTTAAGTCACCCATCCATGGCTCTGGCTCTGCTTCTGGGTACACAAATTAGGGTCCCCACCCTTTTCATTAAAACCCTCTTTTAATTTTTTTTTCTTTTAAATTTTCTTATCTTTTCATTCGGCAAGTGCCTCTTCTTTCACTAACAGACTGTCAAACTCTCAACCAACCAACACCTTCACGAGCCAATGACCCATAAAGCCCAATAAGGACTTGGGGTCCATGGAGTATTAATTATAAATTTATAATACTGAGAAAAGGAAAAAGGAAAAAAGAAAGAAAAAGAAAAGTACGATATTCAAATTTTCTATTTTTTATTTTTTATAGTAGGAGATAAATTGAAACCATTTTGGTGTTATTAAAACACGAAATATGCAAACGTTTGTAGCTCAAATGGTTACCATTACGCCCACCTGACATTCTGTGTTTAAATCCTCATCCTCTAATATCGTGTGTATTTAAAAAACCAAAACAAAATAAAATGATTTTGGTTCTTGTACTATAGTTGGGCTGAAGTAAATCATCCCAACCCATTGCTTGTTGGGTTGGCTTGCAAGGGCTAGGTTTTCCTATCCCCAAGTCCTAGGGCTGGTGTTTGGTTGACACCTTGCCTATAATTTTGTGTGCCCTAGAAACTTGAGTTCATGTATGAACTCAAGGTTGTTCATGAGAGAGACCACAAAACCCTACCTTGAGATCAACAACAACTAAAATGTTGTTGAATCCTTTTAATTTGAAATAGTTTAGGAATTAATCTTTCGAATTTCTCAACTTTCCAAGTCAAATGTGTCCAAGCTAGAAGTGGTAGCATGCACTGGCAATATTGCATAGAAGAAGAATTTGTTTTTCCTAGGGTTCCTGACAGACAGTATTAATTAAACACGTAATAAATTGTTAATTGGTATATTAATTAATTAATTTATAATCCAAAATTACGAACATTTTTGCGGCGACCAACACGGAACAGCCTAGAAGACTGACAATTTGTTCTCTCCTCTGTCGGAAATCGATGAACCTTCATGATTATATCATTAATTAAGACGCATGGGGGGATTATTGATTATTATTAGTTTAACTAATCAATTAATTAATTAAGAATTTTGGATTTTGGATCGATCAATGTCAACCATTCCTCGGAAATTGAGATTAGGGTTTTGAAACGTACATGTTTTTATGGAATTTATTTATTTATTAGGTAGATTTGTATTGTGTGGAAGCATCTATATCACTACCGAGAATTTTCACACACCCTTTTACTAGTCTTTGTTTTAGATTTCCCAGACTTTTGGCCATATCAAAGAGGTCAAGGACGAATCTTACATTAATACCTTCTCATTACAACCAATTATTTTATCTTTACTTCTTTAATTATTACTTTATAGATATATAGTTCATCATGGACAGTGTTCTCTTTCCTCAATATTGTTGTAATTAAAAAAAAAATTTAAAAATTTCATTACCTTTTAATGAGGAGATCAGTCAGACGACCTCGAGCACACGTGAAGCTCTGCAATGCAAATATTACGTGTAGTGTTTTTTTTATAAAGAAGTGTACATGAATAAAAGAGGAGTGAGAACGTACAATTTCAACGAAGGGAGTATAAATGGACAAAAGAGGAGTTTGAAAATCATCTCCCTTTTTTAATTAGTTGATGATGCTCTCAGTTTTGAACTCTTTTTCTTTTCCCTTCTCTGTCTGTGGATTATTGTGAGATCAACTTCATATTTTTTGTGGCTCATGTAGTTAGAAATATTTTGCACATAAGATTTTGTGTTTGATTCACTTTCTCTTATTATATCACCTAGAGCATGTTTCCTTATTAGAAATGAGGGAAGTCATGAATCAAGAAATCTAGGGATGTGGGAATTCCTAAGGAATCATACTTGGACCAATTACTCCCCTAGTTGATAATCTAATTCAT